AGTTTCAAGCCCTTCATGCCAAAAAGTTTTCAATTGTGAAAAGCTAGTTGTGTACTCCTGATTTTCAATCAGCACTGGATCCCTGTGCACTTCAAACCCGGCAACCCCCCTTAGACAAAAACCGGTTCGCACCAAAGATAAGACACCCAGAAACAAGACCGACAATGTGGTTTACGCCGTTCAGTTTTGTCAAGTGTGCACGACCTGAACATTGAAGAGAACAAGCAACCGCCACACCAACTCAGCTTCCTTCACCTAAACGCTAAAGGACACTCGTTTTAGGATGACAATGTCCACATTCTGGCCAAGGAAGACAGATGATTTGAGAGAGGGGTTAAGGAAGCCATCTTTGGTAACCTGGAAAAAAGTATATCTCAACAGAGGAGCTGGTCTTAGACATTTAATCTTAAACACCTTTAGGAACAATACTCAGAAGATTCACCTCTCATCTGACTCACACTTTAATGAGACATGTGACCAAAACCACCAAAAAGGAGGGAGTTAACGACTCATCATAACCCCATAACCCTTACCTGACTCCGCCAGATGGATTTGCTCCGCATATCCATCTGGAAACCTTGCGTTGAAGTAATTTTGGGAAGGGGCGAAAATACTGGTTAGCTGATTGGCCTATGTTGGTGATAGACGGGCCAAATAAACCAATCAGATCAACGAAGCATATGACGTACTAACAGAGTTGATGAAGAGGAGCCAATTGATAGATCAAACGAAACCAGTCGGGAGAAGAGCAAAAACGTCTTTTCCTCTGAGAAAAGCCTCCAGAGCAGTGTTTTGCTCTTCTTTCAATGAAGAAATACTCTGTAATTCCGATAAAACTTGCTCGATAGCCATGCTAACGCTAGTTTCATCGGCTGAAGCCGCCATGTTCTTTAGACTGAACTGTCGTGCTTCTCGTTGCGTCACACCTCAACCCGCCTCAAAGCCTACGCTGATTGGACGTTCGTTTGGTGAACGGCTCCAAATTTTCTTCAACGGAGAGTCTCTAGACTGATCTGCGAGTGAAATCTTGAAAGCTCGCGAGATCAGGATGGTCTCACGAGGCTACCATAACCCCCCAGGTGACCTCCAAGGCTAATCCAAGTTTTCACCTTATTCTTTGTTAAAAGCTACAGTATATTAATCTCAGTTCCCACCACCAGTTAGAACTGAGGAAGCCTCTTGGATGAGAGGCGTCTTCTAGAAACTTCACATATCGTTGCCTAGACTGAACCTTTTAAGTTTGACCATGACCTGGTTGACTGAGAATCTCCACACATAGCTGTGAAAAACACAGCAAGAGTAGCTGCTGCCTGCCACTGTTTAAAGCTAATATAAAACCCTAAGCAGACTAATCTAGATAAGTCATTTTTTCTTAAAATAAGTGCATTTGTTCTGGGATTGAGGAGGTATAAGAGTCATTATGCCAATGGAACGAGACAATTTACACTTAAAATAAGAAAACACAATTGCATTGTCTTTTTTTAAGTGCATATTATCTATCTTATTTTAAGAGTAAAACTACTCATTCCATTGGCAAACTATCTCATTTACCTACTCAAATTAATGGCAAATACACTTAATTTAAGAAATGTTTACTTATTTCTAGATCGTTTTTCCAGTGTACAGGGGCCTCACTGCGAAAAAAATCTAGAAATAAGTAAAAACATTCTTGTTTTTAGCTTTTTTTTATTGTAATTACACTATCATAAGTACAGAGCAACGAAATGAACTCTCTGCATTTAACCCATCCCGTTGGGGAGCAGTGGGCTGCCGTTGTGCGGTGCCTGGGGAGCAGTGTGGGGTTAAGGGTCTTGCTCAGGAACCCAGTGTCAGTCTTTGGGAGTGGGGCTTAAACTCTAAACCTTTTTTTTCCAAACGCAATGCAATGGAAAAATAAAAAATCTAGTTAAGTCATTTTTTTCTTAAAATAAGTGAATTTGTTCTTGAATTTAGGAGGTAAAAGAGACATTTTGCCAATGGAACAAGACAGTTTAGATTAAAATAAGAAAACACAGTTGCATTGTCTTATTTCAAGTGCATATCATCTGATTATCTTATTTTAAGAGTAAAAATACTCATTCTATTGGCAAACTACCTCATTTACTTACTTAAATTAAGGGTAAATACACTTAATTTAAGAAGTTTTTAGTTATTTCTAGATCATTTTTCCAGTGAATAATCACCAGGCTGCCACTCCCTTGAGTGTGGCCTAGTGAAATTAAGTGTATTTACCCTTAGGTAAATTAGATAATTTGCCAATGGAATTTGTATTTTTACCTCTAAAAATAAGATAACTGGATACTATGCACTTGAAATAAGATAATACATACAATACAATGTAAATTGTCTTGTTCCATTGGCAAACTGTCTCGCTTAACTCCTCAATTCAAGAAAATAATCCCTTATTTTAACAAAAAAGACTTATTTAGATTGACATTTTTTGCAGTGCTGCAGTCTGGTTTAACTCAGACCCAAAGTCTGATTATTTTAAACATGCCTTAAAGGAATAGTACACCCAAAACATGATTAGCCTTCATTTTCTACTCACCCCCATGCAGAACAACACTCTGGAGTACTTTTTTGATATCTCAAATGCATCTGGAGATCTGGGAGGCTTCTTGCTGTCTGCTGACATTCAAATAATGGAGGTCTATGGCGCCCGAGGCAGAAAGGTCCATAAAAGTCCACAAAAAACGTGTCAATATTCCTCCATACTGCTCGTCCAATGTATTCCAAGTGTCCTGAGTGGGTAGCGTCCATAATTTACTCGAAACGAAGTCATTTAGAATGTTTTTAGAGCACAAACAGTAGTGTATAGGATTTCCTGAAAGCGCGTTCACGAGTCTACGGAAACCGCGGCAGACCAAACCAGATGAAAGTGCGCATTCAACTCGGCAAAGAACTCATGCTCTTCCTCAACACTAAAGTCCTCAGACATTTTTCTTTCGTTGTTTCTTTCTTTGCACAGGTAAACAGCACATTTCTTCTTCTACGCTTGCATTATCGGCAGAGCAGACGCTGAATGCGCACTTTCATCTGGTTTGGTCTGCCGCGGTTTCCGTAGGCTCGTGAACGCGCCGGCGCGCGCTTTCAGGAAATCCCATACACTACTGTTTATGCTCTAAAAACATTCTAAATGACTTCGTTTCGAGTAAATTCTGGACGCTACCCACTCAGGACACTTGGAATACATTGGACGAGCAGTATGGAGGAATATTGACACGTTTTTTGTGGACTTTTATGGACCTTTCTGCCTCGGGCGCCATAGACCTCCATTATTTGAATGTCAGCAGACAGCAAGAAGCCTCCCAGATCTCCAGATGCATTTGAGATATCAAAAAAGTACTCCAGAGTGTTGTTCAGCATGGGAGTGAGTAGAAAATGAAGGCTAATCATGTTTTGGGTGTACTATTCCTTTAAATGGAGCTCTTTTCCAATATTTGGGCTGCAGGTCAGGACCTGTAGAGGATTTATGGTAAACAAAGATAAGACGCTCCGTTTGCTGATGATTATTTGGTTTGTTGAGCCAGTTAATATGAAATAGACCCGTCTTTGTTTGCCTTGATTTGAAGGACATCCATCCAAACCACCTTGTTTTTGTGCTTTAACCCAACCAAACAAAGGCACAAAACCGAACTGAAGTCCTGCAACTGTTCTTCAGCGCAGAAGCTCATAAATATCCACTATTAATAAAAAAAAAAAAAACAGAAAATGAGGAGAATATTTTTGAAGCGCCTCTTCTTCAGCCTCTACACTCATCTCTGCTTTAGCCGTCGTCTGTAGCGCCGTCCAGGGACTTGAACTGGCAGCCCTTCAATTAGCAGCTGCTTCTCTGACCGGCCGTCTTCCACCTTCCCCCGAGGCTGCCCCCGCTGAAGTTTCATCCCTCCACTTCCCTCCATTCTTTTACTTTGTGAGATGATTTATTAAACTGCCTTTAACTAAGACTGCGGATTAATTAAAACACAGTCGATTTAATTGTCAGGCGTCATATATGAATTTGCAGTGGTAATTGAATCCCCAACTTTAACCAAGTCGTTAGAAAAGAGGCTCCTCATCAATTCCTGCTGGTCAGAGTGAGAACAGAGCGGCTCCTGATATCCGGCTGTCCATGCTAGTCCTGCTCAGCTCACAGATGAAGAGTTGGAATCTGGTTTCCTTTTTTTTTCTGTTTGCTGAAAGGGCCGGGAATCAGACGACGGGTCGATAATATTGGATTTGCGGATGGCATGCGGAGAAGCAGAGTCCAGCATGCATGCAAGGTTCTGATGAAGGCCCTGCTGCAGCTTGGAGTAGCGGATCAGACGTGCCGGCGGGGTGGAGCTCTGGTTTTGGCGTAACCCAGAGATGTAAACAAGCAATGTGCAGAAGCATTAATGGAATAGCGATCGGGGGGCTGCTGTTGCAGCAGAAGGGTCATTTGGGTAGATCTATGCAGGCTGCTGTCATGGAATGGAAATCGATGCAGGATCGATGTAAGGATTGGTTCAGGCAGGAGGGAGAGGGGCTGAAAATGGATCCGAGCCGCGGTGCTTTGGAAGCCCGGCCTTTGGATCCCAGCCGAGCTTCCGAACCCTTTCAGAGGGAAGCTGTGTGTGTTTGTCAGGTTATTGGGTCCCTGCACGTGACTCGTCCTCCCTTCCTCCTCTCTCTCGCTCTCTCAATGTCTCTGCCCCCTCCCCCTCGTCCCACTTGCTCACTATAACCGTTGCAAGCGTATCGATTATTTCAAATACTGATTATCTAAAAGGCCTTCTGCTACTGTAGGCATTGGATTTATTTTGGCTTAATTATTTATGGGCCAGGGCTAGCTGTAAGTATTACGGCTGTGAGATCATGAAGGATTACATTGTTAATATTCAGCAGTGTATTTTTATTTCTGTTCAGTCTAAGCTGTGCTAGGTGAGCTTTTGCAGAAACAAAAACAAAGCAGCAGCGTCTCTCCTCTTCTTTCCTTTAACGCTTTTCTCTCTCCATCCCCGGTTTGTGTGTTTTTGCAGAGGGAGCTAAACTCTGTGGCGTCTGAACTGGCCGGTCGGCAGGAGGAGAGCGAACATTCCCACAAGCACCTGGTAGAGCTGAGCAGGGAGTTCAAGAGAAATGTCCCTGAGGTGAGTCTGGCACCCCGCCCCCCATTATCTCAGCCGTATGTGTCATTTTCCTCATCTTCACCTCAGCAGGTAGTGGCTGCCTGCATGAGCGCTGCAGCTAAAGCCCCCCCACCTCCCCGCTTCACGTGTACTTAGCACTGCACTGCTAAAACCTTTTAGAAATCAGTAAAAATGTCTTAAATCAAGAGTATTTACCCTTAATTTGAGCAGGTAAATAAGATGATTTGCCGGTGGAATTAGTATTTATATTATTCAAATAAAAATAATTAAATAATATGCACTTGAAATGAGACAATAGTTTTTTCTTATTTTAAATGTAAATTGTTTTGTTCATTTGGAAAAAAATGCTCTTATTGTAAGAAAAAATGACTCATTTAGAATTAAAACATTTTTTGCAGTGTACAGCTGTTCTGGAAGATCTGTACACTGCAAAAAAATGTAATTCTTTTCTTCAAATAAGTGCATTTTTAGTGGAATTGAGGAGGTAAGTGAGACATTTTGCAAATGGAACAAAACAATTTACATTTAAAATAAGAAAAAAAAACTGCACTGCAAAAACCATCCAAAAATGAGAAAAAAATGCGTTAAATTAAGTGTATTTACCATTAATTTGAGTAAGTAAATAGGATAATTTGCCAATGGAATGAGCATTTTTAGTCTTAAAATAAGATAATTATATAATATGCACTTCAAATCAGACAATGCAATTGTGTTTTCTTATTTTAAATGTAAATTGTCTTGTTCCATTGGCAAAATGTCTCTTTTATCTCCTCAATTCAAGATAAAAATGCACTTATTGCAAGAAAAAACGACTTATGTAGTTTTTCTAGTGCATAATAACTAATTATCTTATTTTATGGGTTAAAAATGCGCATTCAATTGGCAGATCATCTTATTTTCCTGCTCAAATTTGAGGTATTTTAAGAGGCTGTTACTCATTTTCAGACGGTTTTTGCAGTGCAGTAAAGGCTGGTATGTTAGGAGACCAAAGGAATAGAGATGGATGAATGTCCTGAAGAAGCAGAGTTATAAAGCTTTGCCTTTTCTTCTGGCTTGGACCGATGAGCATTACACTGCAAAAACGATCTAGAAATAAGTTAAAATTTGTTAAATTAAGTGTATTTACTCTTAATTTGAGTAGGTAAATGAGATAGTTTGCCAATGGAATGAGTATTTTTAGTCTTAAAATAAGATAATTAGATAATATGCACTTCAAATCAGACAATGCAATTGTGTTTTCTTATTTTAAATGTAAATTGTCTTGTTCCATTGGCAAAATGTCTCTTTTATCTCCTCAATTCAAGATAAAAATGCACTTATTGCAAGAAAAAATGACTTATGGTATGTAGATTTAAGTTTTTGCAGTGTGCTTCTTTTTTCTAGTGCATAATAAGTAATTATCTTATTTTGAGGGTTAAAAATGCATATTCAGTTGGCAGATCATCTTATTTCCTGCTCAAATTTGGGGTATTTTAAGAGACTGTTACTCATTTTCAGACGGTTTTTGCAGTGCAGTAAAGGCTGGTATGTTAGGAGACTAAAGGAATAGAGATGGATGAATGTCCTGAAGAAGCTGAGTTATAAAGCTTTGCCTTTTCTTCTGGCTTGGACCAGAAGAAAACGCCACACTGCAAAAAAATGAAATCTAAATAAGTAATTTCTTCTTAAAGTAAGTGCATTTTTTCTTGAATTAAGGATTTAAGTGAGACACTTTGCCAATGGAACAAGACAATTTACACTTAAAAGAAAAAACAATTGCATTGTCTTATTTCAAGTGTGTTTTATCTAGATGCTTTATTTTAAGAGTAAAAATACTAATTCCATTGACAAATCATCTTATTTACCTGCTCAAATTAAGGGCAAATACCCTTAATTTAAGACAGTTTTACTCATTTTGAGATAATTTTTGCAGTGTGGGAATGTTTCTCTTTAAACTGCGGGATATTTTAAAGTGGTCCTGATTGTGAGACTGCGTTAAAAAGCTCGGTGAAAACGAACCCTCCTCAATACTTTGAACGATGAGGCCGGCTGCCCTTCTGCAGGGTAAGTTACAGCATCTGTCATTCAGGGAAGTCTGAGGACTCTGGTCTGAGCCTGCACTGCAAAAATTGATATCTAAATAAATGTTCTTAAAATAAGTGCATTTTTTCTTGAATTGAAGAGCAAAGTGAGACACTTTGCCAATGGAACAAGACAATTAACATTTAAAATAAGAAAAAAACAAATGCATGGTCCTTTTAAAAGTGCATATTATCTAATTATCTTATTTTAAGAGTAAAAATACTCATTCCATTGGTAAATTGTCTCAAATGGAGACCCAATAATGCAGAACACCACTGACGGACACAAGGATGAAAAGTTTAAGTTTATTTTGCACAACACACAAATTGTACTGATGGCTGGTTCGGGCCTGGGTTCACCGGAGTCTGCGTGAGAGACAGCGCTGTTAAGGACTGCTGACAGGATTTGATTTCCAATGGTGCACTGATTGTACCTTGAGGGTTCTTGAGGTTCTCTTTGGGAGAGTCACTGTTGGTTCTGGAGAAGGGTTTATCAGCAGAGTCCGTTTGCTGCTTCAGCGTCTCACGTCTAACTTGAACAGACCTTGGCTTGGGTTTCCCAGCTCTAGTCCAGAGCTGCTTGGAGGTTCTCAGAGAATCTTCAGGGTTTGGCTCAGAGGGTCGGCTCGGCAGGTTAGCTCTTCCTGAGCTTTCACGGAGAAGACACGGGTTTCCTGGAAACACAGAGACAGTGATTAGAATCCAACCTGGATTCAAAGTCATGGGGATTCAACAAAGATCTAGGCTTTAGCGCTGACCAACTGGAACAACACTGCGGCGTTGAGGCAAGGTCTGAAGACAGCTTATATAGTGGATCCTCTGATGATCTAGATGAGCTGCAGCTGTGCAGGAGGCTCCCTCAGAGGATCCATGGCGGACTCTGCTGGAGAAAGATGGGATTTTCTCCAGCTCCCAACAGTAGATATTTTAACTTATTTCTAGATCCTCTTTGCTGTGCAGCCTTGCACTGCAAAAATGATCTCAAAATTAGTAAAAATGTCTTAAATTAAGGGTATTTATCCTTAATTGGAGCAGGTAAATAAGATGATTTGCCAATGGAATTAGCATTTTTACTCTTAAAATAAGGTATCTAGATAAAATGCACTTCAAATAAAACAATGGAATTGTATTTTTTTCTTATTTTAAGTGTAAATTGTCTCGTTCCATTGGCAAAGTGTCTCACTTTGCTCTTCAATTCAAGAAAAAATGCACTTATTTTAAGAAGAAATGACTTATTTAGATTTCATTTTTTGCAGTGTAGTTTGATAGACTGCAAAAAGGATCTAGAAATACGTAAAACATTCTTACATTTATTGTATTTACCCTTAAGTAAACAAGATGATTTATCAATGGAATTAGTATTTTTACTCACTTAAAATAAGATAATTAGATAATATGCAATTGAAATAAAACAATGTAATTGTTTTTTCCTATTTTAAATGTAAATTGTCTTGTTTCACTTGCAAAGTGTCTCACTTTCCTCTTCATTTCAAGAAAAAATACACTTTTCTGATGAAAAAATGACTCATTTTGATTTCATTTTTTGCAGTGTACTTTAGTTTACAGGACTCAGATAAACTCTGGTTTTGCTTTAAACAGAGGGTGTAAATTTGCATCTGAAAAAGCACCTTATTGATGCTAATCTGAGCAGACATTTGGTGCAAACCTGTCCTTATTAATAATCTATGGCACCACATACAGGCGTCTGCGCTTAATCACTTTACTTCAGGAGTTTCACATCTGATGAATGAATGAACTGGAATTTATTCACTATTCATGCCAGATCACCTTTATTTGATTCTCAGATCAAATCTTTGTTGCATTTATTAAAACCTTGTGGTCAAAATGTTTAATACCTTTCATTCCCACCTCCCACCAAACTGTCAGAACTGCGGCTCTATCAGCTGCTGAGGATCATTTAAAACGCGTTCCTTCATCCGTTCTCTATTCATGTTGATCATTTGTGTTTTTCTTCCCCTGATTAGTTTGAAAATTAATAATCATTTTGGATATTATCTGACACTAATAATGGAACTACGCAGCTTAACTTCAAGCCATAATCAGTGTGATTCCAGTTTGGATTTCAGCTCAAATGTCATTATTGTTTTTGCATACAGTGCTAACACCTGCTGGGACGCCGTCTGTCCGCCGCTGTGCGTCAACTTATCGTTTTCTTCCGCCTCGCATTGAGGCGCTGTCACTCTGTGCCAACTTGTTTAGCGAAAGCTGAACCCGTGAAAGATAACAGGGATGACTTTGTCCTTTTTCTCTATTTTTCCTGTGAAATAATCATCATTCTGTTTCCTACACTTGAAAAATTATGTAGAAATAAGTAAAAATGTCTTAAATTAAGTGTATTTAACCTTAATTTGAGGAGGTAAATGAGATATTTTGCCAATTGAATGAGTATTTTCACTTTTAAAATAAGATAATTAGATAAAAGAAGACATTTCAATTGTCTTTTCTTATTTTAAGTATAAATTGTCTTGTTCCATTGGCAAAATTGCCTCCTAAATCCAAGAGCAAATGCACTTATTTTAAGAAAAAAATACTTCTCTAGATTTAGATTTTTTCCTGTGTAAATGAGCCCTGAGGCTGTCTGCTGTGCCGTTGGTCTATCTTAGCTGAAGTCTGCAGTGCTGAATCTTGTCAGAATTATCCAGGAGTTTAAGACGGGATCAGGCAGCAGCACACACTGCAAAAAATTGAAATCTAAAGATCTCATTTCCTCTTAAAATAAGGACATTTTTTCTTGAATTGAGGAGGTAAGTGAGACACTTTGCCAATGGAACAAGACAATTTACATTTAAAATAAGAAAAAACAATCGCTATGTCTTATTTTAAGTGCATATTATCTAATAATCCCATTTAAAAGTAAATATACTCATTCCATTTGCAAATCATGTTATTTACCTGCTCAAATTAAGGGTAAATACACTTAATGTAAGACATTTTTACTCATTTCTAGCCCGTTTTTGCAGTGCTTTCCCCTTACCTGCCGCTCCGAGAGCTTCAAACAAGTCAAGATTTCTGAGCTGCCAGTTTATCAGACATCACTGGAACCTCAGTGGTGTTTTAGAACTTTATTACACTGTCAAAAGTAGAAATCTAGATTAAGCATTTTTTTCTTAAAATAAGTGCTTTTGTTCTTGAATTGAATTAAGGTAAAGGAGACATTTTGCCCATGGAACAAGACAATATACACTGGAAAAACGATCTAGAAATAAGTAGAAATTTCTTAAATTAGGTGTATTAACCCTTATTTTGAGCAGGTAAATGAATTTTTTTTGCCATTGGAATGAGTACTGTTGCTTTTAAAATAAGATATTTAGATAAAAATGCACTTAAAATAAGACAATGCAATTGCGTTTTCTTATTTTAAATGTAAATTGTCTTGTTCCTTTGGCAAAATGTCCCCTTTATCTTCTCAATTCAAGAACAAATGCACTTATTTTAAGAAAAAATGACTTATATAGATTTTGATTTTTTCCAGTGTACATTTAAAATAACAAAACAATTGCATTGCTTTATTACAAGTCCATATTATCCAATTATCTTATTTTAAGAGTAAATATACTCATTCCATTTGCAGATCATCTGATTTACCTGCTCAAATTTAGGGTAAAGACATTTTTTACATTTTTCTAGATCGTTTTTGCAGTGTACGCAGTCGTTTGTGGCCCCCAGGGGCTGAACTGATCCCCGATCAGGTGGAGCATTTGTTCAATAACGTCTGCTTTTTTCTTTTTTCTGTTTGCATAGGAGGTCCGGGAGATGGTGGCACCTGTCCTCAAGAGTTTCCAGGCGCAGGTGAGTCGCATGTTTCTGCACCTCCTGCTCACTGAGCAGCTTTTATTGATGGGTTCCTACATCTCTGTTCCACGCATAAGACTGAAAGGAGACGCTCCTGTATGAACACTGACCAGAACAGCTCCTTGACTGAATGATTTGATAGATAGAGGGAGAAATCCATGGCGTACTTTTCGTGTTGCTGCTCATCTAGTGCTTATTGACTGATGCCTTTTCTGTCAAAGTGAAGTAGCATCTATCTGCCATTAGATGATCAGATATCTGGCTTCTCATATTTTCTTGGCTGAGACAAGCCCTCATTTCCTGTTGAGATGGTGCATTCGCTGTGCCCCCCTCTGACGTCGCCATATTGAAAAAGTCATCTGATACCTACAAAGACTCTGCTCCAGCCATTAAACCAAGGTCATAAATCACATTTGTGAGCTGCGTTATGGTCCGCAAGGCAGAGGCTTATGGAAATGATACCGCAAATATGTTTCCAGTCTCGTCCCCCCCTTCAAACTCCGGCGCAGCGCGAACCTGAAAGCCCAATCATCTGTAAACATGAGAACACTCAGCATGGATTGTTCAGATCTCTTGGAAGTGATTATTGGCAGCTCCTTTTTAATGCTTTCTAATTGACTGTGCCCAAGCAGCCGCGTTCCCGAGCAGGGGCCATCGGGCCCCACGTGCCGCACTCTCGTTCCGTCCAATTACTGCAGCCGTTAAGTTGCAGAAATATGCGAATCAGCCGTCCATATCTTTACTGTTCATACAGGAACCCAAAGGATTAATTTAAACACCACTGATGTCTGACAACTGGGATTTGAGAGATGCCTTATAGTAGATAAAATAGATGGCTGATAATGAGCGATGATTTTTCTTTTCTTTCTCTTCCTTTTTAGCTACAGGCCTCTCTGGGTACCTCTTGGTCTCTCTTGTGTAACTTGATAAGCGCTCTTTCTGGCTGAGGAAAGAGGCGATGCAGAAGAAACAATCAAACAGACCAAAATCATCAATTTCTGGTTTTCAACCCTGCATTTCAGAAATGGATTCATCTATCCATCATTTATTCAATGTAAAAACAGATTCTAACAGATTAAAAATCCTTTATAAACAACATTTTAAAGTTGATTTTCGACGGCATTCATGAAAATTTGACGACAGATTGCTAATCTGAAAAGATTGTTATTTGGAAATTCTTTTCACTGAACCTGAAGCAAGTTAAACTAAAACTGCGACTGAAGGAGTTCTAGATGCACTGCAAAAAATGGAAATCTAAATGAGTAATTTTTGCTTAAATTAAGTGTATTTTTTCTTGAATTGAGGAAGTAATTGATATACTTTGCCAATGGAGCAAGACAATTTACATTTAAAATAAGAAAACACAATTGCTTTGTCTTATTTCAAGTGCATATTATATAATTATCTTGTTTTAGGAGTAAAAATACTACTTCCATTGGCAAATTATCTTATTTATTTACTTAAATTAAGGGCAAGTCCACTAAATTTAAGATTTTTCTAACTTAATTCTAGATGGTTTTTGCAGTGTAATAACTGCTCTTCTTTTAGCAAACTTTCTGTTCTCGGGTCGCTGCATTCCACTCTAATTCAATTATCAAATCCAAGAATCCAAGAAGGAATTAATCCAATGAATTAAACAATCAGCCGTTTGGGTTAAATATAAGACTCTTTAGGCTGAGATTAGATTAATTCAAGGTCACATATGGAGAACGTTTCAAAGCAGAAAGCTGCTGAATCATCAGTCTAGCATAAGTTTGGAGGCAGATTTCACCATGAGGTGTTATTGGAGCCATTCCAGCGACCCGCCGTAATCCAGCTACATCCGTTCCCAAACGGTGCTGTTTATTGTTTCTAATCTACAGAGCCCCTCTGATGACATGGTCAAAAAAATGTTTAATTGTGGCCACGAAGTAGTATTTCGTGCGCACGAAGTAGTTTTTCGCGGCCACGCAATAAGTATAACGTGCGCACAAAATACTACTTCGTGGCCACGCAATAAGTTTAACGTGCGCACGAAATACTATTTCGTGGCCACGCAATAGGTTTAACGTGCGCACGAAATACTTATTAATAATATCAATAAATCCGCCCCTGTCTTCAGGCTTATGTTAACTGTAATGACTTATCTTGGACAGGCTGCTATGTAAACGGGCCTTTAGTCCTTCGTTTAGCTATGCTGCGGTTGTTTACACTACGCCTTTTCCACCTAAAATAGCGTCTTAGCAACAAATATCACGTGACTGGCGGAGACCGACTGGGTAAGCAAATCGAGCGCGCCTTAGACCTTAGAGAAGGCGCGCTCGATTTGCTTACCCAGTTGTCCAGGAATTATATTAATATTATTAATAAGTATTTCGAGCGCACCATAAAGTTATTGCGTGGCCACGAAGTAGTATTTCGTGCGCACGTTATACTTATTGCGTGGCCACGAAATACTACTTCGTGCGCACGAAATACTACTTCGTAGCCACAATAAAAAAATTTTTTTACCATGTCATCAGAGGGGCTCCGTACTAATCAGTGTTCATTTGAGGAGAAGCTAAATCATTTGAAGCTTCTCCTCAATCTGAAGTCCAGCACCTCTGTCAGTGAAATAGAACCTCAGCACGAAGCTACCACCACCGTGCTTGACAGCTACTGTTAAATCTCCAGACGGCGTAGATCCACCTTTGTCTCCTCTTTTAAGAAACATTTAGATGTTTAAGTCTTTGCAAAGCCAATGGACATAAATCCAGCCACAGCTAAGGGAATCTACCTTTAATTCTGTATGAATCTAAGTTGTTTGTTGCATATGAATGATTCCAAGATGTAAAGAAATTTGTTAATTATTTAGATTTAATGATGTTTGTCTTTGGGTGTGGGTTTGGTTGTTGGTTGTGGAGCAGAAGCACGCTGCTTGGCGTGCCACAGTGCTGGCAGGGGCGGATTTAGGAGGATTTGGGGCCCTAGGCAAAGACAGGCAGGGGCCCTCTGAATATAGAAAACAACACATTTAACAGACCCAATATACAGATAGAGAAATGTTAATAGAATAGACATCCATTATCTGTTCTAAGTTTTTTCAATGTTTTTTTTCAATCACTCTGTTAATCCAGGCATTCATTTAAGGTGGAAATGAGCTACTAGCGGAGGTCTGCACTCTCCGGGTGCTTTTCTAACAATGTGTTTGCTCATATTATATAGTCATAGAATCGCATCCAACCAGATCTACAGTCACTTTTTAGAGTTTTAATCCATAATCAAATAGAAAATAATCTAGACACTGAAAAATGATTTTTGCAGACTAAAGGAAATAATCAAATCAGATCTTTGTGTTTTTGTTTTTCTTGATTGAAGTGAACTGAACTGGGACTCTGTGCTAAATGATGATTACTGTTGTGTCACCAGGGGCAGATTTAGGAAAAACAGACAGGGGGCCCCTCTGAATGGAGAAACAACACATAAACAGACCCGTTCTACAGATAGAGAAATGTTAATAGAATAGACATCCATTATCTGTTCTAGGTTGTGTCCCTCTCTTCTTGTTCCTCTCTTCTTGTTTTCCTCTCTATGTTTTGTACTCAGCAGACTTTTCATGCTGTCTCTAAAGGAATGAAAGATTTTTTCCAAGCACTAAGCTCACTTAGCTGATTGCTCCTTCCTGTGTTTCCAAAAAGGCCAAAGTAAATAACCCAGTCCTTCTTTTCACTGTAGACCAGCCATGATCTGCTTATCTGTTCTCCATTTTTCATTTGGATGAAATAATAGCTGCATGAATCATGACAGCAGACAAGATAGAGGAGAGCAGGAGGCGGGTTACCAATCTACTTGCTCTGGAGAGCAGAGTTCGCTACTTTTAGATGTTGTCGCAGAAGTCTCCAGTAGCAGAAAAAAGTCTCTAGATTTGGCGCTAGGAGCTTTTTAGAAATCAAAGTGCTAGAGGGGTCTGAAAAGTGGCTAAATATAGCGACTAAAGCGCTAAGTTAGCAGAGTTCGCTAAGTTAGCAGAGTTTGCTAAGTTAGCAGAGTTCGCTGCTTTTAGATGTTGTCTCCAAAGTCTCCAGTAGCAGAAAAAAGTCACTAGATTTGGCGCTAGGAGCTTTTTAGAAATCAAAGTGCTAGAGGGGTCTGAAAAGTGGCTAAATATAGCGACTAAAGCGCTAAGTTAGCAGAGTTCACTAAGTTAGCAGAGTTTGCTAAGTTAGCAGAGTTCGCTGCTTTTAGATGTTGTCGCAGAAGTCTCCAGTAGCAGAAAAAAGTCTCTAGATTTGGCGCTAGGAGCTTTTTAGAAATCAAAGTGCTAGAGGGGTCTGAAAAGTGGCTAAATATAGCGACTAAAGCGCTAAGTTAGCAGAGTTCGCTAAGTTAGCAGAGTTTGCTAAGTTAGCAGAGTTCGCTGCTTTTAGATGTTGTCTTCAAAGTCTCCAGTAGCAGAAAAAAGTCTCTAGATTTGGCGCTAGGAGCTTTTTAGAAATCAAAGTGCTAGAGGGGTCTGAAAAGTGGCTAAATATAGCGACTAAAGCGCTAAGTTAGCAGAGTTCGCTAAGTTAGCAGAGTTTGCTAAGTTAGCAGAGTTCGCTGCTTTTAGATGTTGTCTCCAAAGTCTCCAGTAGCAGAAAAAAGTCACTAGATTTGGCGCTAGGAGCTTTTTAGAAATCAAAGTGCTAGAGGGGTCTGAAAAGTGGCTAAATATAGCGACTAAAGCGCTAAGTTAGCAGAGTTCACTAAGTTAGCAGAGTTTGCTAAGTTAGCAGAGTTCGCTGCTTTTAGATGTTGTCGCAGAAGTCTCCAGTAGCAGAAAAAAGTCTCTAGATTTGGCGCTAGGAGCTTTTTAGAAATCAAAGTGCTAGAGGGGTCTGAAAAGTGGCTAAATATAGCGACTAAAGCGCTAAGTTAGCAGAGTTCGCTAAGTTAGCAGAGTTTGCTAAGTTAGCAGAGTTCGCTGCTTTAAGATGTTGTCTTCAAAGTCTCCAGTAGCAGAAAAAAGTCTCTAGATTTGGCGCTAGGAGCTTTTTAGA